TATGTATATATATACATACATACATATATATATATATTTCAGCCTGTGATTTTGGTTTTACTTCTTAAGTCTTATTAAGGTTTTTATTTCATGCATTTTTAAAAAATAAAATATAATCTTGACMGTCTGAAAATTAAGATAAATACGGCTGCAGAATTCCATAGTTTGAATCGAAAAAATTAGTGAAGTCAATGTGTTATGTAATAAAACGAGAAAGCAAAAGTATCTCTAAAATTCGTATTTAATAAGTTTTAAAACAAAAAAGTTAAAAACTAACCAAGTACATAAACACTGCACGTTGACTTCAGACTTACCTAGTGTAAGTAAATCATGTACGTACCGTATATTGACCTGCAGAAGCAAGAAAATTCAGCTTTAACAGAGTAAAAACTAGATCACGTGACTGACGTCAACCAACCAATTACTTCCACATAAGACTTTCAAAATAAAAGGACTTTKAAGGCACACCATCATTTCTTTATTTATTACTTTAGTTTGCTATAACCAACAMTCAAATAATTCGATTTTACACTTCATTAAACTTTGTTCTGCCTGATCCGTGCTGGATCACATGTAATAATCTTCCGTAAACATTGAGCTTCATTGATCAACTTCCGCTTTGCAACTTCATCAAACAATTTTCTGTTTCCACCAAAGTTTAGCTTTTTTTTTTACATTTCAAATTAATGTTAGATAAAATGCAGACTTGCAGTGACAATACACTACATTTAATGTGTCAAAGTGTTTCCATGTATATCTTATGATCCGATTTGTAAACATTTTTTGAAGCTTTGACCAAAACTCATAACATTCATACCAAGTCATATCATACGCACAAATATGATTCGTGTGTTCTGAAACCTGTCCTTAAAACATTCATACAACCCCTCAATCTACAAGAAAAGGCACCGCTGGGATTCGAACCCAGGATCTCCTGTTTACTAGACAGGCGCTTTAACCAACTAAGCCACGGCGCCGCTGTGACGCGATATGAAACACTGACAACTGGAACAACGGTCTGTCAATGACTGTGAGAGGTTTTATTATTGATATGAAAAGACTTAAAATCTTGAACTCACAAACAGCGACAAATTTTATTTTTGTAATAAAATGATTTCAGATTTGGATCGTCCATGTCTAGTGATAAAAAATATTCCATCCAATRTTTCTATTTTATTGTCTGATGTTTGATTTTTTTTAAGAAAAATAATGGCAAACTAAAAGATTCAGCCCATCTGGTCTTTATTAGAAGTAGTAGTAGTAGTAATAAAGATTTATCTTCCATTAACAAAATCGCTTGTGTGTTACTATGGTTTCTGTGCCGTAAAACTGATCCGCTGCTGCAAACCAAAACTGTCATGTTGACAGATATGTCTGCGCATGCGTYAGTCGGGTTAAGCTCCTTGCCTCGTTTCAGGGTTAACCTCTCGCCTTAGCAACACAAGCCTCCGAAGTACTATTTATTGTACGTTAATATACACCGCAAAATAGGATACTTTTGTGTATCAGCGAAAACGAGCTGGATGTTAAAGGTTACAAAGGAACGCCTCGGTGTTTAATCGGACGGGAAACCATTTTGATTGCCAAATGGTGCATAAGGATACAATGTTGCTAACTTAGCTAGCTAGACGAAATATCCTGTGTCGTGAATGGGTTCGCTGTACACGGTTCTCCTGGAAGAGAAARTAAGCGGTGTTTAGAGCCAGAAACATGGATACTGTCGAAGAAGGTAAGCTATGTCGTAGTATGAGACAATTAAGGACGATAATTAAATCTTATCTTATGTATAATTAATTAAACAGCAGAGAATCTGAGAGCATGGAAAGGATCAGAAGTTTATGATGTCATTATGAGTTTATAAAGAAATACATTTTCCTAATAAGTATATTAAAGTGCAGTGTAAACAAATATTCTATTTCATTACATTTCGTGTGTGTGTGTGGGGGGGGGGGGGCTTCCTGCAATTTCCTGCTAAGCTTTTTCTTCCCTAACAGTTACTTACAAAACACAAAGTGGGGTTAGTTCTTCTGACGTAGGTTGAATAAACAGACCCAGAAACACCCAACTTGTGCCCCCTCCTTTAAATACTCGCACAGCACTTAATTTATTTCCTGTCTTTATGACAAACCATGGGATGCTTCATTTAACGATCCAAATGGTCATTTTAACTGAATAAAAAATAAATTTAGAGGTAACTATTTATTGTCACATGTYCCATGTCTGTCTCTGTGTGATCAGCGGATATTTGTCGTGTGTGTCGCTCTGAGGGGACCCCAGAGAAACCCCTGTACCACCCATGTGTGTGCACCGGCAGTATCAAGTTTATCCACCAGGAATGGTGAGTTTGTTGTTATTGTTAACCTTGAGGAAGTAAACACATCGCATATGTCAGCAGACCGTTTATCTTGTTGCGAGTAACGAATCGCAATTTGTTTGGTTACCTCAAGTTTGTAGTTTTTATTTATAAAGTTTATTCATTTAAAGCAAAACAACATAAATTCAATATACAATAAAAATACAAATCATACACTCAATGAAAGGTTGTAGATGAAGAAAAAAAATCTTGTGATTTCTGCCCTTTTTTCTCAGATAAATTTAATCAAAAATAATGTTCAGTTTACAAAAACGTACAAGAAATTAAAGAAAACTATAAAGGTTTAATTCCTTCTTGAACAACAATGCGTACATTATACCCATACATATTTCTCCAACAAATTTACCCTTATCATTCTCTGAAATATACACATTGATCAGGCATTTTTAACATCATCTTCCAGATTATTCCATAATTTAATTCCATGGACTGTAGCACTCCGTTCCYTCAAACTGGTTCTAACTGTAGGTCTCACAAACATTTCTATCCCCCTCAGATTGTAACAATTCTCTCTTTTAACAAAATGTAATTGGATGTTTTAACGTTTTTGTCAACGTTTGAATATTTTCCCCATGAATGGTCCTATGGGGGATGTTTTTTTTTTTTTTGCTCTATGATGTTCACATGTTCGTAAAGCAAGTATGATAATAATTTCCTCCCTCATAGTTTGGTCCAGTGGCTGAAGCACAGCAGGAAGGAGTACTGTGAATTATGCAAGCACAGATTTGCTTTCACACCAAGTAGGTTCATTTACATCATTCTATGTTGTGAAATATATTTGTATTTAAAAAAAATAAATTCCTGTGTCTTTCACAAGACATCTGAATGACTAAATTTTGTTGCTTTTGCTCAGTTTACTCCCCAGATATGCCCTCCCGTCTGCCCATTCAGGACATTTGTGCCGGCCTGCTGACCAGTGTGGGCACAGCCATCCGCTACTGGTTCCATTACACGCTGGTTGCCTTCGCATGGCTCGGAGTGGTTCCCCTCACTGCATGTAAGAATAAAGTAAAACCGTCCTGCTGGGATTAGCTCTCAAGTACCGCACTGCACAGATGTTTTGTTTACTACATTAGAATTAAGATAAATGAGTCACCCACTATTTATTAAAAAACAAATAGATAAGTTTGTTATTGGGAAAGCTCTGCAGTTTAGTTATTTACTAGGGATGCAACAATACATGTACCCGTATCGAACCATTCAATACACATCATATATGGAACAATACAGATTTTTAAAATTTATTTTATCAGCTTGTCTTCTGAAGATGCTCTGTGTTGAAGGATCAGTGGATCTGTGTTCGACTACTCCACCTAGGCTGCATTGTCGAGCACAGATCCACTGAGAAACTTGCTGTTTCAGCAAGATTTAATTTAAAAACTGTACTTTTGAGGTTAAACAAATGTTCATAATTAATTTAAAGAAATTACAAGTTAAGAGGGACATGGAAATTTCTCTTTTTTTGTATCGAAAAATTTCGAACCGTGASACTAAAGTATCAAACTGAACCGAATCGTGAATTTTCTGTATCGTTGCACCCCTATTATTTAACTCTGATGAAGTGAATTTTTTTTACTTTTGTCTTAATCTGATGGTTGAAACTACTAAGAGTGGGCTTACGATTGTTTGGAGCTTTATGATATTGGCAAACCGTTATTTTCAGGAGATAAACGTTTCGTTCGTTCTTGTACTGTAACCACAAATCGCTTAATTTGAAATGTAGTTTTTTTACACAAGAACTGCATTTAATGTGTGTTTAATGGGGGGGAGAATGTAAAATAATGCAAAACTTAATACATTGCATTCAGCGTGGTTCATTACCTCAAAGTGATCTTAAAATGCTGTTTGTTTATTAAACAATTACAAATCCTAACATTTTAGTTTAGATAAGCACATCTTAAATGAATATTGGAGCWAGTGTTTATCTCATGGTCATGTTTTTTTGTCATCTACACTTCCATAGTATAAATAAAGTTCAGTTTGTTTGGACATTTTTATTTCCMGTGTCCTTTAAAGTGACCATGACCRAAACTTCACGTATTAGCRTATCTGTGTGGTTTAACGCCATGAAGCTCATCAAACTGGGGAGTTTTATAAGCATTTATTTAAACATTAATCCATCTGGTCACTCTTTTTTTTTTTTTAACAGGTCGCATCTACAAGTGTCTCTTTACAGGCTCCGTGAGCTCTCTCCTGACGCTGCCGTTGGACATGCTCTCCACGTAAGCAGACGCCATGGTCTCCAGTCTTTTATTTATTTTATTTTTTGGGTGTTTCAGCGTAGTTTGTTTGTTTTTAAAATACGTTTCTGTTCTCCTGCAGAGACAACCTCCTCGCAGACTGTTTGCAGGGTTGCTTTGTCGTCACCTGCACTCTGTGCGCGTTCATCAGCCTGGTGTGGCTCCGAGAACAGATCGTTCATGGTGGCGCCCCCCAGTGGTTAGAGCAGCAACAGCCSCCGGCTCCCAACGTAGCTGGACAAGCCAATGAGGTACCGGTTCACAAAGTAATATAGAGTATTAGAAATTATAGTGTTTGCTGCGTTTTTTACATGTGTATGATATAAAAAAAAGTAGGTTATGAAATGGCGGGGTTTATATTTATGTAAGTGTGTTTAATTAACAAACTATGTTTCCATAATCCTGCTATCAGTACAGATTAACTGACATGATGATGCTCATTGTTTCTCATAATCAGGCACAAGCTGCAGGTCAGGGAGCAGCAGACGAGCCCCCTGCAGGCCAGCCGGCCCCCGCTGACCCTCCCGCTCAGAACGAGGCAGAGCCTGAACCTCCCGACGCCCCCCCAGACCAGGCTGACGACCCGGCGCTGGAAGAGGAAGGAGCGGCTGCTGAAGATGCCGACCCCAACAACGGAGCGCAAGGTTTTCAATAGTTTTGATTGATTTGAATATTTCAGTAAGATTTAAGTTTTAGTTTTGGTGTAAGAAATATCAGCGAGCTGAGATCGGTTCTTTCAGTTGCACTGGTAGAGATGCTTGTTCATGCTTTCATTTCCTCTCGAGTTGACTACCATAATGCTCTTTTTATTCTTCAATTACTGTCTCTGCTCGAAGTCGTCTGCAGGCTATTCAGAATGCTGCAGCTAGATTGCTCACCAGGTCAAACAGACGCTGTCATATTACTCCTGTGGAGTTCAGGATTCAATTTAAAATCCTTACAATCACTTACAGAGCTTTACATGGTCTGGCTCCCACTTATATATCAGATTAGGGCTGTGTGGTTTATGCGATAGATGGTAGAAACGGTATGAAGTTGGCCTACGGTAGAAATTTACCATCTACCGCACTGTGATCAGTTACAGCGGGTAAAATAAGTATTGAACACGTCACCATTTTTCTCAGTAAATATATTACTAGAGGTGCTAATGACATGAAATTTTCA